CCTGAATAGGGTCTGTGGGTGAAAGGAATATAGAAGTGATCTGGCTGTTTTCACTTTTTGGTAAGTTTTAAATTATTTTAAAATAAAAAGTAAAATAAATTTTAAAGCACATCTAACATTTAATAAAAAAAAGAAAGAAACGACATCTCAAATAGTAAATACATACAAAAATGTTCATTCCTTCTGACAATGAATGCAAATTAAAGTAGTCTTAAAGTATCATTTTATACCTGCTTGGCTTTTATTGTAGTCATTTGTTTTATCTATCTGATGGTTTGCTTTGTAACATGATAACTAGAAAGGGTTTATTCTTTGTTTCCTAAGCACTGTTACATAAAGTGAAGCTGTGAGAAAAGCGTGGAACAGATTCTCGTTCAGAACCCCCAGAAAGAACCCACCCTACCAACGCCTTGACTTCTGACTTCTTGCCTCCTGAACTGAAGGTTTCCCCTGCCTGTGGCAGACACCAGAGAGTCACCACCAGGGATGCAAAAAAGGACACAGGCAGAAAGACGCAGAGAACTCCCAACCTGAGCTTCCTCAAGTGCCTTCACTTCCATTGCTGTTCTTGCCTGATCGCAAGTTGTGCCAGTGTGCCTTCCTTTCCTCTCCTTGCCAACACCTTTGACTATCCCGGCACCCAGAGCTGTATTCACTGTGACTGAAGGTCCATGTTTTATATTCTGTCTTCACAACGAGCTCGTCAGCCTGAGGATGGCTCATAAACTCATAATCCTTACAAAAACTCTAGAAAAAAGATTCCATTATTTTCTCCACTTTACAGAAGCAATTGAGGATTACAGACTTAAGCAGCTTGCCTGAAGTGACATAGCCAGCAAGCAGTATAAGTGGGGTATGAACCCAGGCAGTCTGGCTCCCACGCTTCTAACCTCTATGATATGCTGCTGTACTACGATACTCAGACGGGGCCGAGGTACTGAAATCTGCTACAGTCCTTTTGAAGAGCAATGAGGCCATGCCATCTCTGTAGTCATCAAATCCTCAGACTCTTGGCCACTAATAAATTGCTGACAGTTTATCCTAAGGAAAGCTATATGCACAAGGATGTTCTCTATAATGGAAAAATTTTAAATGATCTATAGGGAAATGGGTTAGTTATGATTCATGGACTTGATAGAACATTCTACAGTCAGTCATTATCATTATTAATGATAATGGTAATCATTTTTAATGATAATTATGGAGATATATGGAAAATAGGGAAATGTTTACAATATAATATTAAGTTAAAAAATACAAAGTTTATGTATACTGGTAAATATGTAAACATTCTGTGTGCATAACAGGAACAAATTAAAAAGTAAAATATTTAAATGATAATAGCTGTTAGAAAGTCATGGGATAATTGGTGACTTTTTTCCTTTCAAATATTTCTATGATGTTTACAACAAAACAATACAAATTAAATACTCCCCAAACATATCATATTAAAACCTGTCTAGAAAGTGATGCAAGGATTCTTTTCATGCTTCCTCAACCCTTCTTTTCAGGGGATGAGTGGTGATTATGTCCATTTACATGGAAACTTGTTAAATTTTTTTAAAAGACAATAAAATTATATACATTTTATGATTCAATATAATATAACACACACACATCTAGAGGACATACACTGGAATATCTACTGAGGCTATCTCTAGGTGGTGAGATTAAGGGGATTCTTTCTTTTTCTTCATACCATTTTTGAACTTAGTGTTATACACATGTATTCATTTCTAATAACTTTTTTAAAAGAACTGTATAGGTAAACTATTACCAAACTAAAATACTTAAAAATAACATACTTTTGGTAACCAACTCCATAATTTCATCAGAAAAATAGAAATAGCTTTCTCATATCATTTATTCTATATTCTGCTCTCTTTGCTAGACCCACCACCAACTATATCTCATGCTAGTAATCCAAAATGATCAACTGAGAATCTACCTATCTATAGTATATGTACAAGCCCAACACTTATACACTCAAATCGCTGACCAATGAATCCATATCAAGAAGGAAATGCCATTCATACTGACTTTCTTACAAGGATTTAAATATACTTTCTGTGAATTGATACTTCTTGTTGTAAACTTTAAAGCCTAATAGAAAAATTAAAGCTTAGAAAGTCACATTGCCCAGCAAGAGAATGATAAGAAAAATAATCCTAAATGATTAGGTAGAAATACCTAAATGTTATCACCAAAAATAAATGATTATTTTTATTAAGTACTTTTAATACATTTTAAGTGTTCTGTTTAAAAAGTAGGTAAAATCTTGATGAAATCTGAATATGCTATGAGGTTGAGAAAAAACAAAGATCAGAAATCAGGGAAAAGAATAAATGTATAGAAAAGAAGCAAAAATAAGAGTCAAAATTTAGAGGCCCTTAAGGTAAAAAATAATTCCATGATAGGCAGAATTAGATTATAAGCAAATTTTAAGCATAGCACAGCCAAGAACTGTCCATAGAATAGATTATGATGATGACAAGGGTTAAGGAATATTACATGTGCTAGAAGGTGGGGCTATTAGGGAAGAAGAGAAAATGTTATAGGGTATAGCAAAAAAACAGTTATATTCAAAACTATTAACTGCAGTCTTTTAAAATTGGAAGGAATTTTATCTGTTTGGCATGGTTTTAAAATGTAGGCCTGTATGAAGGAATGGATGCTATGAACATATGGCGTGTTCTGTTGTATGAGTACGAAAGTGAGTATCTAGAATGAGAAAAGCCCTAAACATCTGAAGCGGATTAATATATTCACTATCTCAAATCTGATTGGCTAAAACTGAGATCATGACATCCAATCTCAACCTGGTATATGTGTGAATCAGGGATAACTCATCACATTTTTCTTCCTCTTGTGAGTTACTAAAATGGCATACAGAGGCAACGAAGCCATGCTATCCCTAAAGTTTTCTCTCTTCTGCCTATGCCAAGCATGATTTTTATCCTCTCAAGCCATTTCTTCCTCTAAAGAGCTCACCAAAGTTGTCATCCTTCCTATCAGCAGCGCCACTGGGCTCTGATGAGTGACACCCAGACATTTAAACTCAAAAGCTGCTTCAGAAGGGAGTTATTAAAATTCAAATGAGCTGGGCATATTGAAGAAGAAAACACTTGTTTGCATGCACACCTCCGCATTTGGCCATCCCATTTAGACCCATAGAGCAGGGTCTGGTTTTGTTTTTGTAAATGGGCTTCCGAGGCGGAGGTCAGCCTCCCACGGCCTCCACTCCTCTGGGGTCATCATTAGTAATGGGTAAGGCTGAATGGATTTTCCTCTGAATCTAGTCAGTAAACCTGACAAGAAGGCAGCCCTCTCCCACAACCTGAGAATGCCAAAAATGTGACTGGTAATATAGCATTTTTAAAATATTTCATTTATTTGTCTTAAAATAGCTTTAATAGTAAGATTTTACATAATGTTTCTGATGTCAATTTCACCTGATTTTTCAGTTTTAGAACAGAATACTTCCTGTTGTCCCATGACTGCATAATCATAAAAATATTACATTTAACAAAAATTTCCACCAGATTCAGAGAAAATTCATTTCTGTTAAGAAATATGAATCTAGGGAGCCAAATGACATTTTAGTCACTAGAAAAGAAAAAGAGTATGTCTTTCATTTGGTCTTAAGAGTTTTATATTTCATGGAAATATCTCACGTTATCATCATTTAAAAATTTTATAAGATATCAGTGAGCAAACTAACAAAAAATAGAGCAAAAATATATGTTCCTAGAATTATTCTAGCCATGGATATTTTAGATGCTCCTTTAGTAAGAATTCAATTTCCTCCTAATGGAGACATCTCTGTACTTTAAAAACACTTAATTTATGGCAATATAAACAATTAACTCCACATTATATATATGACATGTTCATATATAAACGTATCTTGTACAACAATGACATAACCTTATACCAATTTTTACTGAGGATATGTAAAAGCAAATAATGCTAAGTCGCGACCTGAGGATAATATTATGCACAATTTCTAGAACTGCAGAAACTAAGGGAATTCATGTCCAACCTATGAAAGTAGTTTACAATCTGGAAGCTCCAGGGATTTCTGTACCCAGTGGAAACTTAGACAATGGACATGACTTTTAATGTCCCTTCCAATGGTGAGATTTTATCCTTCCATGACCTTCATTAATCAATGACTTCAGATGTCTCCAGATGTCTTCATTTTAATTGGTTTAAAAACTTTTTTCCCCCTAAAACTGGGATGGTCTTGTTGTAATACAGGCACTGATTTTGCCCAGACTGACACAGCCAACCCAACGAAGAATGAAACTAGCACACACCAGTGAAAGAATATTACATAAAACTGGTTCCTGAGCCATGACATGCTCATTTCGGATCCATTTTTTCCTCATAGCACGAAATGGTAGGTGTGTATCATTAAAGAGCATTTATTTAATAGTTTATGTGTCATTATTTTGACTCCAGTTAAAAACAAAAGGCACTCAATCTCTGTCTTTAGGTTGTGTGTGGCAGCAACAAAGAATCACAAAGGGACAACTGGTGCAGAGAAAAGGAACATAAACTAAAATTAAGAACTAGAGCCAGTGATTCCAACAACACAAAGTGATCACACAAGGTTCAGGGAGAAGACTTACCTCCAAGTCTGATCCTGGAATACAAACTGCACCCATGTGTGTTTTCTCTTTTTAGGTCACACTCACTTGAAATTGACAAGAAAAGTAATGTGCACTTATACTTTCGAAATGGCCAAAAGGAAGATTAAGATATTCACATGTCCTGCAAGATCAGATATGGTAGTTCCAACAGTATACACAGTGTGTATGTTTATGTACCACTTAGTGTAGTTGGCCTCCTAGTCATCTCTACTGCAAAGATGATCTGGCAGGAGAAATTATTCACCCCTTCAGACTTGTATCGTTTAATTCTACAGAAGCAAGCTAAGGGCACACAAACTTGACATGTAGACAGTATGATACAGTTCAAGAAACGTGCTCACTTGCCTTTTTTTCCTCCTGTAATGAAGAAGCCAATGGCTGCTCTAATAAAACTGCTTTCAGGCAAATAGCTATAGTCAGTAGGAACTGTGGAGACAGAAAATGATCAATTTAACCAATGAACCTGGTGGGACTAATGAAGGAAAGATAATGATCTCATGCTGCCATATCAACCTAGAGACAAAGCAGAAGTGTTTATGCCATTAATCTCAGAACAATACTCTGTGGTTGCAACTAATTCTATTAGGTTAAGTGACTGGCCTTGAAGTCATCACTTAGGCTATGCAGGCAAATCTAAAATGGTGGTAAATCTAGAGGAGGCTGAAAAACCACAGAGGACAAAAATTGTACTGAAGTGGTTTAAAAAAACCCTTTTCCACTTTGGCACATCAATGAGCCGCAATCCAGTGACCTCTTCTGTGTCAGCAAGGAGTCTACTGGGCTTCTAGGATGAGACCACCATTCTCTGGGCTATTTCAGGGCACCGTGAGTCAGATATATGAACTATGGAAATACATCAATCAGCATTAATATCAGCCAGTCTCTTACTTCATAAGGCAGGGGCCTACCTCTATGTGACCAACGCGTGCAAATAACCAGATGTGCCTGCTGACCTGGAACAGTGAAGGAGTGACATTTATGCTTGTTGAGTCCTGGGAGTTTCCCAGATTCTTTTCCTCCCAGTTCCACATAATTGTTTCATGAAATGGTTTTTACTGGGATAGATGGCTCAACTTTTCCAGACACACAATCATGTTGCTCCAAAGAACCTGGGTGTAAGATGACTCACTACGACCTGCCTTCAGTATATGTGGGCCAGATGGTGTACTCCACAGTATAACAATTAAAAGCCTATGTGAAAAAGCAAAAGCCTGACATACACATGCTATTTTACCAGGACCTTGTGAGAGCACTGCCCTTCAAAACTAGCAATACCAAGGGTTTCTAATATGACTACTTTTTTTTCCTTTTCCAGTTTTAATATGACAGCTTCTAGTTGTCTAAAGTTCATTATGTTGGGAATGCTGTGGAACCATGTCCTATTTCTATAGCTGAGGAGTGATTGAAAATGAGGGAGACAGTAATTATAGTAGCCCATGGTAATGCTGTCTGTAGACTACCTGTCAGGGGATATGTGAAACTACGTTTTAATGAGGAATCTTTGGCACCTAAACCTCCCTGGCATGAGTCCAAGAGAGCCAGTGGTCAAAATTCTATAAAGAGCAAGGAGTAGCTATAGGTCCCAGTGCATTACAGTGATGTCTTCCCCAGAAGATCGCCAAGTACACACATAAGTTAAGCATGTGGGAATTGCAAATATTTTTATTGCTTTTATTAAAAAGCTGGAAATAGAAAAAGCCTTGTTACATTAAGACGTAGGATTTTAATTCCAAGGCCGAGGAGATATACATCTTTAAAAGTACTTACCCAATTATTTTCTCAAAACCAGAGGCCAGAAGAACTCCAGCCATATATGAAGAGTTTTTTAATGAAATATGAATATTATACAAACTATGATTACATCTAGTAAAATAAAAAGAACTCTGTTCCAAGCTTCAAGGGTCTGATTCCTAGTTTCTGGATTTCTCATTAAGCTTGCACCTAAGTCATGTAATCTTTCTGAGCCTCGGGTTCTCCATTTGTAAAATATGGGGTTAGACTCAATGTCTAAACCAATCTCCAAGGAAGGCAGAGAGAAAGAGTGGAAAGAGCATGGGCTTTGGCGGCCGACAGATCTTAGTTCAAACCGCATGTTTACCATTTACTGCTATGTGACCCTGGGCAAGTCAGGAGACCTCTCCACAGTCCATTTTCCTCTGATGTAAAAGAGGGTCAGTAATATCCACCACTGTGCTAGGGTAGCTGTGAAAATTAACTCTCTTAACAAAGCACATTGCCCCACGTCAGCAATCCCTCCTTCCAGCTCCAGTGTTCTATGACTCCAGTCTTACCCGAGGTTCTACTTTGATTTGAGGACAGAGTAGACAGATGAAGATGTCCTAGAAGCCAGATTGCATTTGACTGAAGACCAATCACCCCAGACACACTGATGACCTATAAATGAAATGTAACAGCTCAATGATGGGGCAAGATCCAAATTCTATTCAATAGAAGGCCACTCACAGGAGGTCACTAATCTTTTATGAGGTGGTGGCTTGGCTGGTAATGAGATATACAAGACGTACTATCAACTGTCTAGTATATTAAATGTGGGACATAGAGGTGATCAACAAGTGTTGCTGAATGAATGAATGAATCTATCAATCATGATGGAAGGTACCAGTGGCTGTCTCAGTTTTCACTGAGACAGACTGGTCTAAAGGAATTTTCAAAAAATGAGAAAAGAAAATCCAAAAAGTAAAAAGAGGTGATAGTTGCTTAAAACTAAAGTACCTTTAAAAGTAGAAGGAGATACTATTTTGTTCTCTTCTTTGAATAATGCTCTATTACTGTTTTATCATTCATAATAAGATTTTTAAAATAATAGTTTTCATTTATAGATTTTTTTCCAAGTTACAGCAACTTATGTTTCAGTAGAACTTTTTTTGGAGAATATTCATATTCATACATGCAAAAGAGTTTCTTCTGTTCAGAAATTTGTTTGCTTTTAAAACCATGAATTCCTAAAACTTCTTTTATGTGGTATTATAACCAGCTATATTTTGCAAGAATGAAAACAAGTATGCTAAGTGAAAAGCCTAGGATACAAAGTTCTACATGTGATGAGAATACAACTATGCAGAGAAAATAAGAATGCTTAAAAAGAAATATGACCAAATATTAGTATCAGCTGCTTCAGGTTGGGAGGAACATCAGTGATATTTTTTCAGCTTCTTTCATCCTGTGCTTTTAAGTTTATTCAATGAACATCATGATTTTTTAAAAATAAAAATCTGAAAATATAAAATCATTTCTCAGCAGATGGACATGTTTATTCTTTAGCCAAGGAGAATGCTGACCATAATTTACCCAAATACCTTTACCAGTGATATCTGAACTAGTGCCTCTTGACTATTCTGCTTATGCCCTGCCCTTTGACTGTCTTCCACTTTTCCTTGTCTGGAGGGCCTGACATTCTTTGCAAGGTCAGGTTTTAATGTTTAAGAGAAACCAGTACCAACTTAACTCAAAAATGCCAGCTTTCTTTTTTTCCAGAGGTGGTGTGTGTTGATCAGCAAATTATGCAGGGCCGTAAGCCATTCTCTAATGACCCTTGAACTCACCATGAATAACCAGAGATTTTCCCATTGTCTAAGTAAAACAGTTTATAACATGAAAAAGAAAAAAGACCACAAAGGGGAGTATCTGTTTTCCCACTCAAGGGTCTGAAATTCCCCTCCTCACCTGAGTTAAAGTTCTAATGACTTCATTAAGTCTGCCTTGAAAATGAGAGGACTGGATGGCTTCCGACTTCAGCTGAAAGAAAAAGGAGAAATACCCATCCCGCATGCCCCCAGAAGTAAATAATGATATTCCCAGTGTATGAGTTATCATCATCTAAGCTGTGAAATAATTTATCATTATATCCTTATATTTCGAAAACAAAAGCTGTGAGCTCCTTGAAGGCAGGACCCATGCTTTATGAAATCACTGATTTCCTAGCACCAGTTCAGTGTGGCATGTAGCAGTCACGTAATAAACCTTTACTGTATGAACAAAGGAACACCTTAGAATTACTTGTAAATTTACATATACGTATGTCCACTACACAAACCATTTTAAAGTGAAAGCATAATTACATAGATATCAACTTAAACATCACAGATGCAAAACGGAGTTTCTTATGAATGGCTTTTTAAATTTCTTAGGCTCCAATCACTTTTCTCATTTAGAGAATTTTGTAGAAAGTATATAAGTTGACTAGGTTTAATTCTTACAAACCAAATAAAATAAGGAACATATCTCGATAGAAAGAATTCTTGACCAAGAGCAATTTTCCATATATAAAGGCACTAGAAAGCCCAGTGTAAACAATACCATGATCATATATTGTTCTTTCCTTAGCATACTGAGATATTGGGTATTCTTTTCTTGCTGTGACTATGTACACATTTAGGTTTCTTCCCGCCCCGCCCCTCCCTTTTTTTTTTTTACCTGCATTACATCCCCTTCAGAGCCTACCAAGGCCACCATGCCATGAAGAGCTGCCAAACAAAGCATTGTGGAGGTGCCCTGAAAACAAAGTATCAGAATATGTCAAGAGGGAAACAGTCCTTGGGTTTGAAGTGGATAAAAATTATATCATAGAGAAACAACCGGCCAAAATGGTACTAAATTTGTAGGGTCAACACAACCTGTGTCACTGAACTGAGAACGGCAGCAGACTTGAATAAAGTAACAGGTTAAAGTTGTTAGATTCTAGGTGGTTTCTTGTCATTTTTTATTTTTCAAAACTACAGTGTTGTTTTAAAATTAACACACTGACAAAAGAGCCAGTTTAAAAAAAAACACTATAATGGTTAACAAGATGTATCATTTATAAGGCATTAAAAATACATGTGTCTTGGGGGAGATTGGTTCAAGATGGCGGAGTAGAAGGAAGTGCGCTCACTCCCTCTTGTGAGAACACCAAAATAACAACTAACTGCTGAACAATCATTGAAGGAAGATATTGGAACTCACCAAAAAAAGATACCCCACATCCAAAGACAAAGCAGAAGCTGCAATGAGATGGTAGAAGGGGCGCAATCACAATAAAATCAGATCCTGTAACTGCTGGGTGGGTGACTCACAAACTGGAGAACAATTATAACACAGCAGTCCACCCACTGGAGTGAAGTTTCTGAGTCCCACGTCAGGCTTCCCAACCTGGGGGTCTGGCAACGGGAGGAGGAATTCCCAGAGAATCAGACTTTGAAGGCTAGTGGGATTTCATTGCAGGACTTCGACAGGACTCGGGGAAACAGAGACTCCACTCTTGGAGGACACACACAAAGTAGTGTGCGCATCAGGACCCAGGGAGAAGGAGCAGTGACCCCATAGGAGACTGAACCAGACCTAACAGCTAGTGCTGGAGAGTCTCCTGCAGAGGCGGGGGGTGGCTGTGGCTCACCATAGGGACAAGGACACTGGCAGCAGAAGTTCTGGGAAGTACTCCTTGGCATGAGCCCTTTCAGAGTCCACCATTAGCCCCACCAAAGAGCCTGTAGCCTCCAGCGCTGGGTAACCTCAGGCCAAACAACCAACAGAGAGGGAACTCAGCCCCACCCAACAGCAGACAAGCGGATTTAAGTTTTACTGAGCTCTGCCACCAGAGCAACACCCAGCTCTACCCACCACCAGTCCCTCCCATCAGGAAGCTTGCACAAGGCTCTTACATAGCCTCATCCACCAGAGGGCAGACAGCAGAAGCAAGAAGAACTACAATCCTGCAGCCTGTGGAATGAAAACCACATTCACAGAATGATAGACAAAATAAAAAGGCAGAGGACTATGTACCAGATGAAGGAACAAGATAAAACCCCAGAAAAACAACTAAATGAAGGGGAGAACAGTAACCTTCCAGAAAAAGAATTCAGAATAATGATAGTGAAGATGATCCAGGACCTCAGAAAAAGAATGGAGGCAAAAATCGAGAACATGCAAGAAATGTTTAACAAAGACCTAGGAGAATTAAAGAACAAACACCTAGAAGAATTAAAGAACAAGCAAACAGAGATGAACAATACAATAACTGAAATGAAAAATACACTAGAAGGAATCAATAGCAGAATAACTGAGGCAGAAGAACGGATAAGTGACCCGGAAGACAGAATGGTGGAATTCACTGCTGCGGAACAGAATAAAGAAAAAAGAATGAAAAGAAATGAAGACAGCCTAAGAGATGTCTGAGCCAACATTAAATGCACCAACATTTGCATTACAGGGGTCCCAGAAGGAGAAGAGAGAGAGAAAGAACCCGAGAAAATATCTGAAGCGATTATAGTCAAAAACTTCCCTAACATGGGAAAGGAAATAGACACCCAAGTCCAGGAAGCGCAGAGAATCCCAGGCAGGATAAACCCAAGGAGAAACATGCCAAGACACATAGTAATCAAATGGACAAAAATTAAAGAAAAAGAAAAATTATTAAAAGTGACAAGGGAAAAACGACAAATAACATACAAGGGAACCCCCATGAGGTAAACAGCTGATTTCTCAGCGGAAACTCTACAAGCCAGAAGGGAGTGGCACGATATATTTAAAGTGATGAAAGGGAAGAAATTACAACCAAGATTACTATACCCAGCAAGGATCTCATTCAGATTCGACAGAGAAATCAAAAGCTTTACAGACAAACAAAAGCTAAGAGAATTCAGCAACACCAAACCAGCTCTACAACAAATGCTAAAGGAACTTCTCTAACTTCTCTAAGCAGTGTTTCTTGGGAAACACGAGAGAAAAAAGGACCTACAAAGACAGACCCAAAACAATTAAGAAAATGGTAATAGGAACATACATATCGACAATTACCTTAAATGTGAATGGATTAAATGCTCCAACCAAAAGACACAGGCTTGCTGAATGGATACAAAAACAAGACCCATCTGTATGCTGTCTACAAGAGACCCACTTCAGGCCTAGGGGCACATACAGACTGAAAGTCAGGGGATGGAAAAAGATATTCCATGCAAATGGAAATCAAAAGAAAGCTGGAGTGGCAATACTTATATCAGATAAAATAGACTTTAAAATAAAGAATGTTGCAAGAGACAAGGAAGGACACTACATACTGATCAAGGGATCGATCCAAGAAGAAGATATAACAATTATAAATATATATGCACCCAACATAGGACCACCTCAAAAGATAAGGCAAATGCTAACAGCCATAAAAGGAGAAATTGACAGTAACAGAATAATAGAGGGGGACTTTAACACCTCACCTCACTTACACCAATGGACAGATCACCCAGACAGAAAATTAATAAGGAAACACAAGCTTTAAATATCACAACAGACCATATAGATTTAATCGATATTTATAGGACATTCCATCCAAAAACAGCAGATTACACTTTCTTCTCAAGTGAACACAGAACATTCTCCAGGAGAGATCACATCTTGGGTCACAAATCAAGCCTCAGTAAATTTAAGAAAAGTGAAATCATATCAAGCATCTTTTCCAACCAAAATGCTGAGATTAGAAATAAATTACAGGGAAAAAAACATAAAAAACACAAATACATGGAGGCTAAACAATACGTTACAAAATAACCAAGAGATCATTGAAAAAATCAAAGAGGAAATCAAAAATACCTAGAGACAAATAACAACGAAAACACGACAATCCAAAACCTATGGGATGCAGCAAAAGCAGTTCTAAGAGGGAAGTTTATAGCTATACAATCCTACCTCAAGAAACATCTCAAACAAACAGTCTAAACTTACACTTAAAGGAACTAGAGAAAGAGGAACAAACAAAACCCAAAGTTAGTAGAGGAAAGAAATCATGAAGATTAGATCAGAAATAACTGAAAAACAAATGAAGGAAACAATAGCAAAGATCAATAAAACTAAAAGCTGGTTATTTGAGAAGATAAACAAAATTGATAAACCTTGAGCCAGACCCATTAAGAAAAAGAGGGAGAGAACTCAAATCAATAAAATCAGAAATGAAAAAGGAGAAGTTACAATGGACACCACAGAAATAGCAAGCACCATAAGAGACTACTACAAGCAACTCTATGCCAATAAAATGGACAACCTGGAAGAAATGGACAAATTCTAAGAAAGGTATAACCTTCCAAGACTGAACCTGGAAGAAATACAAAATATGAACTGACCAATCACAAGGAACGAAATTGAAACTGTGATTAAAAGTCTTCCAACAAACAAAAGTCCAGGACCAGATGACTTCACAGGTGAATTCTATCAAACATTTAGAGAAGACCTGACACCCATCCTTCTCAAACGCTTCCAAAAAATTGCAGAGGAAGGAACACTACTAAACTCACTCTACAAGGCCACCATCACCCTGTTACCAAAACCAGGCAAAGATATTACAAAAAAAGAAAATTACAGACCAATATCACTGATGAATATAGATGCAAAAATCCTCAACAAAGTACTAGCAAACGGAATCCAGCAGCACATTAAAAGGATCATACACCATGATCAAGTGGGATTTATCCCAAGGATGAAAGGATTCTTCAATATATGCAAATCAATCAATGTGATACACCATATTAACAAATGGAAGAATAAAAACCATTTATTTTTATGTTTTGCAAGTCGTAGCCACAGCAATCAGAAGAAAAAGAAATAAAAGGAATACAAATTGGAAAAGAAGAAGTAAAACTGTCACTCTTTTCAGATGACATAATACTATACACAGATAATCCTAAAGATGCCACCAAAAAACTAGAGCTAATCAATGAATTTGGTAAAGTTGCAGGATACAAAATTAATACACAGAAATCTCTTGCATTCCTATACACTAACAATGAAAGATCAGAAAGAGAAATTAAGGAAACAATCCCATTCACCACTGCAACAAAAACAATAAAATACCTAGCAATAAACCTACCTAAGGAGGTAAAAGACCTGTATTCATAAAACTATAAGACACTGATGAAAGAAATCAAAGATGACACAAACAGATGGAGAGCTACACCATGTTCTTTGATTGGAAGAATCAATATTGTGAAAATGACTATATTACCCAAAGTAATCTACAGATTCAGTGCAATCCCTATCAAATTACCAACGGCACTTTTTACAGAACTAGAACAAAAAATCTTAAAATTTGTATGGAGACAAAAAAGACCCCGAATAGCCAAAGCAATCTTGAGGGAAAAAGATGGAGCTGGAGGAATCAGACTCCGTGACTTCAGACTATACTACAAAGCTACAGTAATCAAGACAATATGGCACTGGCACAAAAACAGAAATATAGATCAATGGAACAGGATAGAAAGACCAGATTTAAACTCACACACCTATGGTCAACTAATCTATGACAAAGGAGGCAAGGATATACAATGGAGAAAAGACAGTCTCTTCAGTAAGTGGTGCTGGCAAAACTGGACAGGTACATGTAAAAGAATGAAATTAGAACATTCCCTAACACCGTACATAGAAATAAACTCAAAATGGATTAAGGACCTAAATGGAAGACCGGACACTATAAACCTCTCAGAGGAAAACATAAGAAGAACACTCTTTGACAAAAATCACAGCAAGATCTTTTTTGACCCACCTCTTAGAGTAATGGAAATAAAAACAAAAATAAGCAAATGGGACCTAATGAAACTTAAAAGCTTTTGTCCAGCAAAGGAAACTATAAACAAGACAAAAAGACAACCCTCAGAATGAGAGAAAATATTTGCAAACGAATCAACATACAAAGTATTAATCTCCTAAATATATAAACAGCTCATGCTGCTCAATATTAAAAAAACAAACAACCCAATCCAAAAATGGGCAGAAGACCTAAATGGACATTTCTCCGAAGAAGATATACAGATTGCCAAGAAGCACATGAAAAGCTGCTCAACATCTCTAATTATCAGAGAAATGCAAATCAAAACTACAATGAGGTATCACCTCACACCAGTTAGAATGGGCATCATCAGAAAATCTACAGACAACAAATGCTGGAGAGGATGTGGAGAAAAGGGAACCCTCTTGCACTGTTGGTGGGAATGGAAACTGATAACAGCCACTGTGGAGAACAATATGGAGGTTCCTTAAAAAACTGAAAACAGAATTACCATATGACCCAGCAATTCCACTACTGGGCATATACCCAGGGAAAACCGTAATTCAAAAAGATACATGCACCCCAATGTTCACTGCAGCACTATTTACAATAGCCAGGTCATGGAAGCAACCTAAATGCCAACTGACAGACGAATAGATAAAGAAGATGTGGTACAGATATACAATGGAATATTACTGAACCATGGAAAGGAACAAAATTGGGTTATTTGTACTGATGTGGATGGAGACTGTCAAACAGTGAAGTAAGTCAGAAAGAGAAAAACAAATATTGTATATTAATGCATATATGCGGAATATAGAAAAATGGTACAGATGAACTGGTTTGCAGGGCAAAAATAGAGACACAGATGTAGACAATAAATGTATGGACACCAAGGGGCGAAGCGGGTGGTAGTGGTGGAGGTGGGATGAATTGGGAGATTGTGATGGACATGTATACACTAATATGTATAAAATAGATAACTAATAAGAACCTGCTGTATAAAAAAATAATAATAAAATTAAATTAAAAAGGAAAAAAAAAGTACATGTGTCTTTCATCTGAAATTGCCTATTCTTTTATGGTTAAGCTATATATCTTGGCAGCACCTATAAATGGTCCAATAAAGTAGCTCTTTTTCCTTTATAAAAATATAAAATAACATGCAGGAGGTCCTTCTACCTCTGTTAGAACAATTCTGATCCAGGCAGGGAGCAGTTTGTTGCCCAAGTCTTCAGCTTTTCCATGTCCACACACAGACAAACCATGAACTATGTTTCCTAACGCCAGGGCAAAACCTGAAGTCTGTTAAAAATAAATTAAAAGAAGAGGTAAGAAAAAAAGAAGAATGGCACAAATCAGGAATGTTCATATACAGCAAAACAAGCACATTTAAGGGCTTCCTTTCCTATAGACACATTCTGTTTCCATCTGAAAATCAGAGATTTGCAGATTTTTTAAATCTACACCAGTCTGCAACAGAAACTGCAGTCTAATTGTATGGAATTCGGCTTCAGTAAGTGGCTTTATTTTAGGAAAAGAATACTGCACTACTGATTGACTTGGGTCAAACAATCCAAATTCTAAGAAGGCGGTTAGGGTGAAAACACCAAGGTAAATCACCCAAGCTCAGTCAACCCCCAAACAAGAGGAGAAAATATCATATAATGAGCACAGCATATGCAAACTTCTATATTTTGGTGTTTGCAAAATCTATTCTTTTTTTTCTAATTTTACATTAATTTAATTTTATTTTTTATTGAAGTTTAGTTGATTCACAATGCAAAAATCTATTCTGACTGTAAGTGAGCAGGCATACAACCATAAAATAATAACGATACAAAACAGCACAGGCTTAAAACCTGGACTGAATCCTGCAGTAACCCACTATGGCCAATATTAAGACTTTGGAGAAATCTAAAAAACAAAGAACTGAGCAAACAAAATACAAACAGGGAAATTCTACAGCTTGTGTGATCAGAGGGAACATTTTTGTTTCAATTTTTAAAAATTATGGTAAAATACACATAACATAAAATTTACCATCTTAACCATTTTTAAGTGTACAGTTCAGTGGTATGAAGTACATTCATAATGCTGTGCAACCATCACTCCCATCCATCTTTAGAACTCTTTTCACCTTGCAAAACTGAAATTCTGTACCCATTAAACAATAATTCCCCATTCCCCCTCCCTCAGCCCCGACAACCACCATTCCACTTTCTGTCTCTATGCTTTTGACTGCTCTAAATACCTCATATAAACAGAATCATACAGTGTTTGTCTTTTTGTGATGGGCCTAATTCACTTAGCATAACGTCCTTGAGGTTATCCATGTCATAGTGTATGTCAGAATTTTCTTCCTTTTGAAGGCTGACTAATATTTCAGAGGGAATATTTTAAGGGTATTTCATTTAAATTGCAGGAATCTAAATTTTCTTATATACTTAGTCATGAGCAGAGTTTCTCTGCCTTGAACTTGCTGAGGCTTTACTTTATCAGATTACTCTATGTATTCCTATCGTTACGAATTTTTGTTTCTAGCCTTACATAACTCTTATTATATTCCCTAGCCACGTGTTTTAAGATTTTATAAATACAGAGCAATAGCTGGAGAGACAGTAAAGACTTTTGTACTCAGACCAAAAAAGAAAAAATGTCTATAGGGTATAAAGAGAGAAAAAGATGTCTGTGGATACTGGCTATAGCTGTGGACAAGACAAGAGTTAGAAGTTCCTCAGTTCTGGGCACAAAACATACCACATTATAGTCTAATTGAGAGTAAATTAGAATTAAGACTTAGCAGCAGCCTGAGACCCACTGAGAAATAACCAGAAATTCCAACCTGCTGGTTGTTCTCCACTAACAGTCGAAGCTTATTCATAATATCTTCAGCCTCCACAGCCTCAACAATTCCGGCACTGAATGCGGATGTACATACACAGCTGAGGGTATAGGCAAGGACCTGAGAAGAAAAGACAGCAGAAACACATGTTTTCATGAGGGGAAATAAAAGAACACGGTTTAGTTGACACAAATATTTTGTCAAACTTATCCCTGGCATAAGGATTGGATTCGAGTATACCCACTATAGACCGGGCATTGTTTTGCTGCCTAACTTATATTTCATAACAATATTATGAGATGGGGGTCCTTATGGCTACTTTCTGGATAAAATCTTCGAGGCTCAATTACACATAGCTAGCAAGTGACAGAGGCGAGATTCAAACCTGGGTCTTTAGACGCTAAATCAACAAGTTCCCTCAACAGTAGAAGCAGATTTTCATCACCAGTGGATACTACTAATGGCCATGTGCTCTGATCCAAGGCCAAACTGGAGAGGAAATTCAAAGCAGTGAAACGCTGCTACATGAAGATTCCCTAGTAGAAGTCGTGGAGCATGACAGACGAGGAAGGTGGGTTTTAGAGTCGGATAAATTGTGTAAAATAGGGATACTACTACTCACTTCAGAGCACTGGTGTGATTTTAATAAGCAAATGAATAAATAAAGAGATGAATAAATGAACAAATTATAATTTTTTTTAATGTTGGGAGTAGAAACAATACTTGAGTGTATATCCCAAATTGACCACTGACTGGCTAAGTAACTTTAAGCAAGTCACTCCAACTATTTGAGCTTCCATTTTTCCAAATCAAGGTTATTCATCCCTCCCTGCTACCTTGCATTTTCATGATGAATCCCTTCCTCACAAAGATGCTGTTAAGACAAAGTAGAAATGTTCAACTCCTCACACTGATTGATAACAGCATGAAAAAAAGAGGCAGTTTCTAAGGTTGAAATTGGATAATAAAAATCAGAGGGGAGGAACAACCGAAATTGCTTGCTCGAGGCCTTCTAAATCAAACCATCAAGGCAGACAGATGCATCAATTATAAAAACCTTGCTTTCATTTATTAATCAAATTGCTCCGTGGTTGTAACATTTTCTCCTTCGGCTTAAAAAAAAAAACGTACTTCCCAACTGTGCTCTGCACTGCTTTAAAAATGGAAATGTGGTGTATGTCTTAGAACAAAACTGCAACCCTCTGTGCCCCAAAGAAATTCACTGATTCAACAAGTCCTATTGCTGAAAGCAGAGGAGCTGAGCGGGGGAAACACAGCAGCCATTATGTGCTCATCAATAGCTCGTGGGCAGGCCGGGGGAAAATAGGATCTGCTCTAATGAGAGGGAGAATCTAGTGAGGCCAAGAGGTCGGCCCAGGCTCCTCCCAGAGAGAAGAGCCCTGCAGTGGCACGGCTTCACCTGGGCTCACAGACACACAGGCCTCAGATGTCCTGCTCGACCCATTCAACACACAGACCAGAGCCCAGGATCCCAATTCTGCATATTTTTGCACCATCACAGAAAAATCTTTTCATTAAGTGTGGTGAAGGGAATTTCCTCAATAATTTTTCGTGCTTACTGACATTAAAAAAAATCAAATGCCTTTTGGATCCGCAGTTTCTTAAGCTTATTCCTGGCCATTTCTTAAAGTTATACTTGGATGGAGCCTAATTCTAAAAAATCTCCATTTAACCTTCCTCCAGAAATTGCAGCTCTTCTTAGAAACTGCCTTCTAGTGATACTGAGTTAGGTTTTTGTATTCACTAAAGGCTCTTATATGCCACAGTAAGTCTAAGTTGATTTAAATAGCCGCACTATTTGAAAACCTATGATCTAATGTAGGTTGTTTGCCACTCATATTTTCTCCTTAGCCCAGCTGAAATTGAGGACGGATTTAATTTCAGAGTTACCAAAACAGGAGAAGTAGAAAATAAGCAGCAAGAGGAAAACAAAAGCCAGCAGAGGGAAGGAAACTGGAACGTTGGTCTCCTACCTCCTGAAAGGTTCTGCTCTGGCCCCCGCTGTCATCTAGGTACACGGAGAGCTTCCGAAGCGAGGCTGCCACGTGAACTCGCGACTCTGTTCGGCTGCTGTGGCTCATGAGGGACAGGACAAGTCCAACTCCCAGTATACAGCCCGTGCTTGGATGCCAAAAAAAGATGAGGAGTGAAAATCGTAAGAAATCCACGCCATTGCTCTTCACTTATCATGGGAGTTACCAGTGCTCTACAACCCAAGGTAAGATGGCTGGATTCTAATTCTGCTGCTTGGTGTACAGGTGTATTCCATGACCAACCCCCCCCCCCCAATCAAAATGTGTCCATGGCCCATGCCAGTGCTATGTACCCAATGGAGAAAACAAATAAATACATGAAATAGTTTGACAAACTCTTTAAGAGAAGGAGGCATAAAAATTAGTCAAACCAGTTCTATCTCTGCACTTAGAGAAATGCCGTGGTCCCCTCTCCACTCACTGCTCCCCCCAATCATGCTGAGTGCACTATGATTAACTGCATAAGGAGAGAAAAGCCTAAATTTCAGGATATGAGCTGAGGCCATCTGACTAATAACGGGGGAGGCAAAAGGCATAATTACGAGGTACTGCTAAGTGCTTCATGTTTCCTAGTCAACTTCAACAAGTGGAATTTCTGTTTCGAAGAAACTGTGTATTTGTCTGTGCACAATGACATTAGTCCTCTTCTCTCCTCTGATCCCTCCGAGTACCACTGGGTCAGAAGAGAAAATGGACAAATGACAGGCTTGTCAAAAGTTACCCCATGTGACAATTCAATTGGAATCTTGGGCTTTGTGCCCCAGTTCTCCTGAAAGAATACATATCCATTTAAAGAAAAGAATTGTTCTCCCAGAAAACTTCTAGTTAGTGTGATAAGATAAATGTGGCTTGGGGGTAATTTTTTACTCTTTTGAAAAAGTTTTTATCATCATTGTTGTTTTTCAAGTTGAGGAAATGCTGACTTTTTCAGAAATCATCCTCACTCTGGTTTGGCTTGCCTCTCTTCCTGATATCTACTGCTTAAGAAGACATTCCAGGGCATTTCTCCAATAACATATTTCAATGCCCGTATGTTATGTCATTTTGCTCTTATATAGCATCTATCGCTTTGGCTGGCATCAAGACCTTCACATAGTTTCTTAAACATGTTAGTTACTTCCCCTGACACCTCTGCGCCAACGGAGCTTCCACATCCGATAAGAGATACCCAAGAGGATGGAGAGGCTACAGGATTTGCTCAAGGTCATGCAGAGAGTTTCCAGCAGAGCATGGACAGAAGACAGGGTTTTTTGATTTCCAGCCTTCTGTTCCAACTGCCAAACCCAGGCCCCTCCTGGCACCCTGTGTGATGCCATGATGGAATGATTATGAGAAGGCAACATGTCTCAGGTGTGTTTTCCTAGGTTCTATTGCACAACAATCTGGCATTAGAAAATCCTTTGTCAGGAAGCTACTGCAGCAATAATCCAAGTCAGGCAGAACTGCTGTTCCTGCTTACATGAACTTAACAACCAGCTCAACTAGCATAATGCATATTTCAATGAGTTAAATCAGCATCTAACATCTGAACACTGTGTGCTTTTGAGACAAACCACATTTCTGAAAGAGGAAAGGCTACTGCTGATTAGAATGGATTTAAAGTCTTTGTTTTCATTTAGACTCTACAGGAAAGGTTTTTTTTGGCCATCTTTCTATATTGATACATATGAAATCAGACCAAAGATATAGTTAGACAAATATCATTTAATACTTTAAAAATTTAACTTTTGCTCCCTCTTTAATTATGTAACTGCTATTTATGCTTAGGATTTCAAATGTTACTTCCTCAGGGATACCTGCCCTGGTCCAGCAGGGAACCTCCTTAATATTTTCCCATAGTACCTTGTACTAATCTACTTCAGACAATTTTAATGATATACTCCGATGAAGATTATCTGGGAGCTGATTTGATTACTGACCACATCCTTCACTAGCTTGCAAGCTCCATGAGGGTAGGTACCTTTTCTGTTTTTTCCTCACTACAGTATTTGTGGCACCTAGTAACACTGCTTGACAGGGAGAGGCATTCAACCAACATTTACTGAATGCTGAAGAACTGACCAAATTCTCTTTAGTTTCAAGAGAATCTAAAGTGGAGAGAAAACTTATAGGGGGGAACCCCCCCCAAAAAAACCCAAGGCTTTATTTTCATGTTCAGTTGGAGGCAAAATTTATGAGTGGTAAAATTCACTGAATATATCATCCAAGATTCAATCAAGAAAACTCGATTTCTATTTTTTGCCAGACTAATTTAAGAAAGAGGTGTCAGGTTTATGAGGAAAAAAGATTCTTCTCAAAGCTCACTTAACTACTGGGGTTCATCTTTTTCAAATAATAGACAGGTCTTGCTTTTCTGTCTATTCTGGGCACACAAAAATCTCTATCCCCTGGACTGAAGCTCCTCTTTCACCATCTCAAGGCACATGGGCACAAAGGTCTAGAAAAAGACATCCCAGTTTCTAGTTTACATTTACCTAAAAAATATCACAGCAGAATTGTTCTTGGGCAAGGTTAACAGTCACTAACAATTCTATTCATTTGGTTATTAGCTGTGATATATTTTTCTAAGTACATATGGGTGCCAACAAAAATACGTTAGATAGTGTGCATCTACTGACCATCTGAACCGTTCCCTTCTACTTTGTCTAATTTGTTCCAGCAATGTACCAAGAAGGTAGTCCTAAAGCTTCATTCCTGGTGTTTCCTTCTGACTTCCAAATCTACATTTTAATGTGTGTATCTTTTGTCCTAAGTCTTAAAGATTCTTCTAGGTGCTTAGTTCAGCATTTCTACACATTTACCTCATTCTAGCTTCACTGTTCTACCAGCTCTAGACCAAGAATAACTTGGGCAGAGATAGCTTTCACATCTTTCTGTCCATTGAAAACAAAAAGGACTTAAGTGTTGGTGTCCTGAACAGATGAAATAAATTGTGTTAGATATAAAATTGAGGTTTGGGAATTGCTAACATAAATCTCCTATAAGGATACTAACAAATGATAAAGAGGATGATATGCCCCATTATGTCATTACTTATTTGAATTTCTTATCCAAGTGTATTAAAATATCACTGGCAAAGGAGATTCTGAGTCTTAAAAGCTATGCTCATAATTCCGATATGTGTGTTGCTATATCAACTGGGACATGATATATTTTTCTAAAATTAACCAGAGATGAATCTTCAATTCCCTAGTTTATTGTAGGCTATTCTGCAGATTAAGTACTAGGCCATCTAATAATTAGTTCTAATAACAGTTAACATTTGTATAGTGCTTTGCCCTTTACAAAGTGCTATACAAATGTTATCATATTTGTAAAAGCTCAACAGTAATTAACCAATGCTCAGGTTGTTGATGGATAACGTGACTAGTTATGGCTGTGAAGATTGAAATGGTGTAAAACATACCACTAGATGGCAGCAAAATGTAAGTGATAGGACCCCAAACACCACACCAGGTGCTCGGTTCTCTCAGCAGGGACACATCCATTAAACCAAGGAAGCGTGGTAAATTTGCTCTGGGTGAATTCTATCACTCGAGGTAGCACGCTCCCAGATCTATTAACTACCTTTGGGTAACGCCTCCGATATTTCAGGTGAGAGAGGACTGCCCCGGACTCCTGCAAGTTCATTGGATGGGGGAATACTTTATGCTATGAACCAGGTCTGGGCCTAGTTAGAATTTCTCTTCTGCTTTCAATGATAGACAACATCCACATGTCAGAAAAAATAATCAACACCACACTGTCAAGTGTCAAACTGCTTTCTTTCTACTGAAATGTGTTCTCCATGCTGTGCTAAAAAAGAGAAAGCAAGCTGGTTTTGAAGTCAGACTACCTAGGTTTCTCTCCTGGCTCTGCCACTTAGTGCGTGACCTTGAACCAGTCTCATGTTTTAGACTCATGTTCTTCATCTGTAAACTGAAGTGATGGTGACTCCTGCTTTAGTATCAATATTTAGGTTGTAATCAGGGCTTAATTACATGAGAAGCGGATGTGAAAAGGCCTAGCAAAATATGGCGCTGCTCAGTAAGTATCAGTGGAACCCAAAACCAACGAGAGAACTACCTAAGCATGGACACCCACAAAGTATTAGAAATGACAAAATACTAAACTTCATTAACTAGGAAAAACACAGTTTGGAGAGAATAGAGGGAGGGTTTCTTGAAGGACCTGGGCTTTTAATTGGCACTGAAAGGCAAGCAAGATTTTACTAAATGGACAGGAAATTTCTGATGACCCTATTCTACTTGAATCTGCAGGCTCAATACCCTATGGAGGCCCACCTTTCCTTCTCCCAAACACATGTTTATTAAGAAGGTAAGAATGAAGAAAGGAGGTAAGAATGAAGAAAGGAGGTAAGAATGAAGAAAGGAGGTAAGAATGAAGAAACAAGAACCTTGTTAATATAAAAAGTTAATTTTAAAGTTACATATGCTTAGACATATGAAGGTTGTAAATGCATAAATGCCCATACTTTGGATAATTCAGTTATCCACGTGGCCCTCCCTTCACTCAAACAACCTTCCTGCAAACTCATGGAGCTGATACGTGAGAGTCACTCCTGATTGTTCCAGCTGGCTGAAAGTGTGCAGCATGTTAATCACAATTTTCTCCCCAGCTTAATACCCTGAGCTACAGCTATGTTGGAAACCTTTGTGGGAAGGCAGGAGAAAGAAGGAAGATGGGGAGAGCGGGGAGGAAAGGACAGAAACTTACCTTACTCCTTGGCTGTAAAAGGCAGCACCACCAACACATGAATTAGGCTCAAAAAACTCAACTCTTCACCAGCCCCCTGAACACATAAATGACCCTATCCCTTCCATTAATCATTTTCTAAATTTAAGAGACTTGAATCATGCCACTGAACTCTCTTTGCCCATACTCAAAACCACACTCTTGACATGTCATTTCATCTCTGACGTGTTCAACTTTAAAGTGTGATAAAGTGAGTGCGTTTCAAGCATTCTTATCCAACCTTAGCCTGCATGTGAAAGATCTCATAACTACCACCTACTAAGTGAAGATATGACTTTATTTACACATGATGAAATACATGATACTTGCAGTACTTTTACCATTTATGCTTTTGTTAGTCTGAACATAACAGGCTACATCCATGAATGTAACTTTAGATCATAAGTTCCTAAAGGCCAGAAATTTAAACACTGATTTTTTTGGTAAACACTGATTTAACTCATATTTGAACAGTGCCCATAATAGCATGAAGTAAATGAGTTAATAAATTGGAGGTTAGTGCTTATACTCTGTTGAGTTTCCTAGTAACTTCAACCCCAGAAGATCCAAACCTCAAGTTCTAAAACATAGGGAAGTCCAAAAAGGTACAATCCAGGTTCTCAATGGTGTCAATATTTCAGAAGGCCTAATAAAACAATATGTTTTCCCACACAAGCCACATGGATGAGTTAAAACATTCAATGTCTCACTAACTGAGTATGTTTAACACCATTTTGTATTGTATTTTCTGATTATTCCTTTTTATTGTTTTTGTTGTTTTTCATGACTGGAATGAGAAAATAAATTAACTCTTAAGATATTTAGTTTAACAGACAAAATATTTTAAAAGCATGAAGTTTGGGGGGAGAAGGGATCTACTAATATTGAGGAGGTTGAGAACCTCTGGTGTAACCTCTGCTTGTTTCTATTTTGATTTCTCTGACATTGGATTTCATAGGGAAATCCAAATCATGAGTCAAAGACTCTCTTCGTCAAATCAAATTGAAAGAATATTTTCAACAGATTTTAAAAAGGTTGTCATACATACAAGTCCCCAGATAGATGCCTCATATGGTAAAGTACAAGACAGAATCTAAGGTATGGGTAACTTAATGACAGCCACAAAATGACATTTGTTGCTTTGTATGGAAACAAACCGCCTATTTCTGAAACATGGGTTTCAGAACAAGTGAGCTTTAATTACAGATTTTTTTTATTATTACTGAAATCTCTACACAAAGGAATTCAAGACCGGGTCCTACAAATATTTCACCATAGAATGTAAAATTTATGGCAAAGAAAGAACCAATCTCGGAGTATCAGAGAAGGAATGGAATCAACATACTTGTATTCAAGACTAGTGTCAAAGCAGCAATTTTCCAGGGCATCCAAAGACTTCATCAGAAGAAGGTTCATCTGTTGGCCAGATATATCACTGGGTAAAGACCAAGAGGGAAAAATGAATTATTTAAAATCATTCAACTGTCCAAAATATTTACTATGTAATATTTTGCTCTCAATATTTTATTGAAAATGCATTTCTTTAAAAAATATATAAAAGTAGCAAATAACAATATTGATGATTCACATATATTTTGTAGACAGAGAAACTGAGTCAGAGAATTTATTCAATAATTGGGTTTCTGTACATTATAATCACTTGCAAACCAATAAACCCTAAAACTGCTACTTTTGCATTTTCTCAGCTCATTCAAATTTTAAAATCACTGAAAAATAAGAACAAAGCTCAGAATTCCAAAAAATTATTTCTAGGAATGCTAAGGTGATTTTCTTCAGAATATTTACTAATCCATTAAGCTGATATTATCAATAATCATTCCAAATCTTTCTTGCAAAAACTATAACTTCTGATTTCATGTCTCAAATATGGAAGTTTTCAGTTCTATTCTTTTTTTTTTTTAAATGGGGGTAAAACCCAGCCCTATATTTTTCTGCCTTTATACAGTAATTGATGTGGTTTTTGTAATTGTCTTGGTGAGAACTATGACTTTTAGAGTAAAATAAAAGGTAGGTCTATGTCTGTTTTTTCAGGCAGAGTTGTGGGCTTCATCACCAACACTTTATTATCAAGGGGTCCCTACATGTCAGCTCTCCTGCTGCTGCCTCAGACCATGCTGAGTGGAATGCAGCCCCAGGAAT